TCCTTCCCTGGTGTAATTACGATGCTCTGGCTGTAGGTCGGGGGGATCAGCGAGATTAGCCAGATCAACATCAAGCTGCAGGGCAATTGCAAGGAAATCTGATGGTGTATACAACGGCCGATTGAGAACGCGAAGGCAGCTATTAGTTGCAGTCAGACCACAGAGATTGGCGGGGATCTCAGGCTGATTTTGTTGGTCAGTCATTTGTAGATCAGTAGTCTTTTTTTTCCCACTTGCCGTTTAAGGAAGTACTCATGCTCCCGCCATTATGAAGCTATAGGCAAAATGCTCGGTCTTTGCGTTAGCCGCCCTCCCCACCCGTGGCCCCGTCCGGCTCCCTGGAAAGGACTTCCGATTCGTTCTCATTGCAATGTGTGTGTTCCCCCCCCCCCCCTGCTCTTGGCCCCCACCGTGGACGCATTGGGCATCCTCTTGTTATATTTTATAAATCAAGAGTTCAATCCCCAAACATTCTCGTCTTCGAGTTGATCAAGAGGATAACTTCTTTTTTTTTTTCTTGGGGAAGGGGAGGGGAAGGTGGGGTTGGGCTTTTTTTTTGTTTCTTGAGGAGGGGCCGGGTAAGGCAGGGTTGGGACTCTTGGGAGGGGAGATTAAGAAGAGAAGACAAGAAGAGCTTGGTGAAGAAAATGAGCACTCACTGCTGAGAGAGGATCGTCCAGCAGATAGAGGTCGGCATCTCTGTAAACTGCTCGCGCCAATCCGACACGTGCCCTTTGTCCACCACTGCACATTTTAATTTCATATATGAAATAGAAATCAAATTGTCAACATAACCCTTTAGATCATTTGTGCATTGCAATCCAGTCCTTCTTCTTCTTCTTCTATCATCATCATCATCATCATCATCATCAACATCATCAACATCATCAACATCATCAACATCATCATCATCAGCAGCAGCCACACCACCATTATCATCAACAATCACTATCGCCACCACCACCATCTTTATTATTTATTTACTTATTTATTTATGCAAGGAAGATGAGCAATAGCGAACTTCAGCAATCAAACAGCATCATAC